AGGGCCGGATTTAAAAAATAATTTTTTTTTAAAAAGAAAAAAAAAAAAAAAAAAAAAAAAAAACACCCCAGGAAACAATGTACATGTCCTTCAATAAAAGTGTGTTAAACAATGATGAACACATCCTTAGGGTGAAATTTGAGCGGCTATTTTTTTATGAGGTAGAAACCATATACACTGATATAGAAAGATTTCCAAGAGATGTTATCATGTGAAAATGAAAGACACTCACAATGGTTTGTATAATATGATTTCACAGATGTAAATAAAAAGAATATTTATATATTAATATAAAGTTAGTTTTGCTTTTTAAAAACATTTCAACAGGTCTAAAGAGACTGTTGATGTGCTTAACTTTAGGCAATCTGCTATAAAATCTTGCTCTGCCTCCTGTAAAGTTGGATACTGAAGAATTCAGGAAGTGGGGAGCAAAATATTTTACGTATTTCTATATTATTCGAGTTTTTGCCAGGAATGAATGAGTAGATTCTTTAGCATATTTTAAAAATAAAGTGTCGATTGCCCAGGAGGCTGATTTTCTGAATTGAACAAGTCACTGTGGAGGCTGCTTGCCTCGTTCCATTTCTATGTTCTCTCACGCTCCCTGGTTCAGGACATTACATTCCAATGCTGCCTACGTCATTGCTTTTCTGCTCTGAACATATCCTGCTCAAGTGTCCTCTCAGCACATCCTAGTAACCTGTGATAAGGGGCTATTGCTGCTGGTCACAGCCCTCTTTCCTGACTTCCGGCTGAACCCATGATAGTTCAGGAATGAAGATTGCCCACCACAACCACCAAGCAGTAACAGATGAAGTGAACACACTGGTGCAGCACGACATGTCTTTCTCTTTCATTTCTGCCTAGCCAAATCATTTCCATTCTTTAAGTCCTCATTCCAGGGACAAGTTCTCTAATAAAGCCTGCCCGGAACTCCAAAGTCAGAATTCATCCCTCTCTCAGTGTTAATTTACATTCTGTTTTTACCTAAGTTATATTTAGCACATTGCAATTCGTAGCTTGGTTATTTATGTCTGAGCCTACAGGAAGGTGTTCCAACATCTGTGTTCTTGGAAACATCTAGCACAGACCCTTGTTCTCACTGAATGCATGGTACCTATTAGGAGAATGGATTTCAAATGAATAGAGGTTGAAAACTTAAAGGTACAACCTAAAAAAAGATGCAAGCCTTTCAGCCCTTGGTGGCAATCATAGGATCTGCTGGTCTTCCCACTGTTATTGATAAAAAACTGATTAATGTCCCACCAAACTAGACAAGTGACATAAGACGCTGATGAGCCTGAAAGACCATCAATAAGTTTGTGTCCCTGCTGTATGTCCTCAATTATCTATGGATGCCTACTCTAAGTTAGTTCCATAGTTACAGAAGACAGCAGCCTAGGAATATACTTGCAAAATCTCCCTCAGATTTGATGTGCACTTATTTGTACATGAGTTAAGGGTAATATCACCCAAGGCCAACTACCAACAGGACAGAGAAGGTAGTGAGCCTCTGCAAGAGGAATTTGCAGACATTCCTTTGGCACCATGACTTCTCATTCCTGACATGACAGCCCCATGTAAGAGGTAATCCATCTTAACATGATGCTTTCCATAGTGAAGGTGGTTTTTAAAAACCCTGTGCCTTTTATTACGATCGATAGTTGTTCTAAAGGATGAACTGCAGGTGTGTGTGTGTGTGTGTGTGTGTGTGTGTGTGTGTATGTACAGAGAAGTAGAATTACTGTATATGTATGAGAAATCACAGGATAGGAAGCTATTTAGTTAGGTGTTGGAAAGAGCAATAGTTGTTTTGGTGTGAGCATGTATGTTTTAAGAGTCAGTTGATTAGGGACCAGCAGTTAGCATAATGGCTATGTCGCTGGACTCCCATGTAGGTGACTACGGTTCGAGTTCCGGACTTGGTGGCTTAAACTCACGCCAGGCGCGTGTGTGCGCGTGCCCAAGATCCCGAGAGGAGAATGGAGGAGAAGGGATTGTGGCGTGGCCATCCCCCCTGGGGGGTGATTTCTCGCTTTCTGTCTCTCTCTCTCTCTCTGTCCTTCTGGTAAGCACACGCACCCTATAGGAAATGCCTCTCAAAAAAAAAAAAAAAGGTCAGTGGATCATGAGTGTGTATGCAGTGGCCAATAAACACGATTAAATGGAAGGAAGACTAGAATTTTAGTCTAACTTTGTCCTATGAGCTAAAAAAATGTAGGCAAATGACTTAACCTTATGAAATGGGGACAGGGGACAAATATGCCTACTCTGTCTAAATCGTAAGGCTTACATGAGACAATGGCACCAGGAAAAGAGTCTTTGTATCTCAGCCAGAAGTCCTATGGACAACTACAGAAGAGGGCAACTTTATCCCGAAGACTCAGCTAGCCAGGAGACTCCAGCATGAGCCCCCATGAGACCAAGAGCCAGTATAAGCATCTAGAAATTTGTCCTCATGGGAATAATGGGAGTATTTTTTTGTAATTATAAATACTGTCCACAAATCCACATATAAGAACCAAGATGAAAGAGATTCCTCTTAATTCCACAACTTGTTACACCCAAAACACAAGTTCCATAATACAGATGGGAGAAAAATCAGACTCAACATCAATGATATTCTTTTGAACAAATCTATATTTTGGGCTGGCTCAGTGGCACAGTGATAACACGCTGCCCTATGAAGCTGGCTCCGTGTGGAAGGTCACAGGTTCAGTTCTGCGATTGACTTACACATTCTGCAAACATGTGCCCATGATCCTGCTGAGCTGGAAGGCTTGATGAGAACTGTGGATGAGACCCTATTAAGGATGCTTCCGTGCTTGTCTCTCTCATTCTCATGAAAGAAATTAATACACTTTTAAAATTTACAGTTTATTATGACAAGTAACCAACTCTTTTTGTAGCAAAGACAAATAAAATATCTTGTTTCTATCCTGCTTATATCTATGTTGTGGGGAAGAATATTGATGTTCCTATTGATGATGTCACCAGATAAAGTAATTAGTGCAACGTATGCACTTGTACTGTCAAGGACGTGTTGCCAGAGAAGAGAGACAAAGGGTTCTGTTGAATTAAAGCACCTGTACAGGAAAAAGCTAGCATATGCAGATTTCAAGAATGTGTTTATGCCAGATATAAATGAGAAGAATGAGTCTCATGCACATGCATCCAGCTTAATTCAACCCTATGCCTTTAGAGAGAAGAGAGAGAGAAATGAGCAAGCAAGAATGAGAGAATCTTTGTATTCATGCTGTTACTCTTCTTCAGCCTAGACCCAGCCTCCACCACTCTGGCCAAAATCAAAATTGAAGCAAAAAAAAAAAGTACTATCTAGGTTTTAAACTCTAAGGACTTAGTACCTGGGGAACCCAAGGGTTTCCAAGGATTATTTTGACCTTACCTGTTGGGATGAATATTGACCCCCCCAAAAAACCTCAGTAAGGCTAACTCCATGTGGTATGTTCACAAATCCACTATAAGCTTTATAACTATACATACTCTTATACCTAATGCCCTTTTTCCTCACCCCTAGACTTAAAACCACATGTTACACCCATTATGTTCTCCTGCCATCAGCTTGCCCATAGTGACTTTTTAATGCATGGGTGACGAATTACATAGCCTATCCAACTAGCTTTCTGTTTCTACTGTAAAATCTTAATGACTAAGATTTACCTTAATTAAAATTGATCATGAAGAGGATAGATAAGAAAATTCTGGAGAAATAGACTCACAGAAATCACCTTACCCATTCCTGAAGCCATGTCAGCTAATGCTAACTTACTCTGCGTGCTTGGTCAGCAATTTCTTAAAACTCTAAGAAAAGTAATTTCATCATGACAAAGCCACAGAGTCATCCTCTCCCCTAAAGAACAAAACAGGGCACTTCCCCATACATAGCAGGTTTTAAATATTCTACATTAATTATGAATAGCAGGTGGAAGGTAAGAAGAAATAGGTGTCACATACCACCACAGCTTCTAGAACTGCTTATGAAAACAAATGGCTGCAATAGCCATGACATCCGATCTAAAGACGTCAGCCTAACACTCAGGGTTAAGAACCAGATGCTGTAGAAGAGGCTACTAACCAGGCAGTCCAAGTGTCAGAAAGTCACATTTCTTGCAAAGAAAAGATGTGTGGGCAGTACAAGGAAACACACCTGTGTGTGTGTGTGTGGATGCACACGCGTGTGCACGCACGCGCACACGCACATGGTTCCGCAATGATGGGCTCGGAAATAGAATGAAGCCAATTTAGAAGACAAGACAAGCTGGCTCATCTTAATAAGTCTGGAAGAAAATCCCACCTACCTGGTGACTGCCCGGGTGCAGATGGTAACAAGGAAACAGCCGGCCACAATCATCCAGCCCCAGCCTCCGTCCGGAGGGGAGGTAGACCGAGCTCGGTTCACTTTGGCCATGGTTTCAATTCTTCCTCCTCCTTTTCCAAGTTACTCCGACAGCCAAGTTATGAGCTTGGAGGAGTTTGCTGTCCAGTGGTTTCTTGTGGGCATTCGAGACTGGTGTCTAATGCTACCTGGCACATGGGTTATCAGTCATCTAAAATAAAAAACCAGGACACGTCCATATTTTAATACCATGTCTACAAGTTGACTTTTTTACACTTGGTAAATGTGATTATTACTTTCTCATTAAATATGATTTTTGTCATTATAAATATTGTACTGGGGGAAAAGCTGTTTGTTGTCCTTGGTACCCATCCCCTTTTTCTTTTTTTCAATAATAGAACCTCTCAAATTTTAGCCAAATCCGTGTCTGCCACATTTGAACATTTTCCATAGTCTCTCTTGAAGGTAGGTGTGGCACATAGTTTAGTCTACATGAAAGGGATGTGGGGCCAGCCGGTGGCTTGGATCCCATATGACTCACAGCTCCACTCAAGTCTCAGACCCAGGGTCTTGAAAAACATGCTAAGTATGTGGGCATGTGGGCCCAAAGTCCTGAATAGCGAGGTGAAAAAGAAGGGATTACCATGTGACCATCCCCGATGGGTGCTTTCTCATTTTCCCTCTCAGATGAGTGCACATGCCCTCTAGCCAAAAGGAAAAAAAAAAAAAAGAGAAAGGATGTGAGCAAAAGTCATACGGGCCCCTGCGGTTCATCAATCCACAGGCAAAGGCATGATCGAAAGATTTGCCGTTGTACTTGCACTTCATAGGCAGTCCAGTCTGTGTGGTCAGGGCTGGCTGCTCACAGGAGCCCACAGCTCAGTCTCCCCAGTTCATCATGACCCTGATTTGGTTTAGTTTTCTGCTTTCTCTGCTCTTTCCTGTGGCCTTTGCATTGGGGAATCCTGGTCCCATCCATGGTTTCAGGGAATGGCCTCTGTCCGGTCTGGTCTCCCTTGGTCCAGTCAGTGAAGGATTCAGCCTGACATGGGAAGTAATTCCAGTCCATGGATGAGGGGAAGTCCTCTGGGAAAGGTTTCCTTGCTATGGCATGACAACAGCCTGTCAAGGGTGCTTTTCTCTTTTTCTCTATCTCTCATGTGTGCAGGTTCTATTGTAAATAAAATGGAATAAACTTACACAAAACATCCTGAAACTCTTACTGCCTTTTGCTTGCTAACATCCTAAGTGTACTTGGGAGTATTTTACCCTAGTGGAGCCTCGAGTTAAGAACAGTCTAACTGACATCCTTTTCTTAAATTGTATTTATTTTTCCCATGGACGAGAAAGTCAGAGAAAGAAAGAGGTACCCCCCACAGAGTCTTCATGTTGTGATCCACCCCAGCTTCAGCCAGTCCTGGACTACGACACACGTGTGCTCGGTGTTTCAGGGAGTCTCCAGATCCAAGCCTAGAACCTTCCCATGAGCTGAGCCTCACAGAGCATGGTGTTACTGCTGTACCACTGTCCAGCCTCCTGGCTGGCATGTTGATCACAGCTTTGTGAGACCCACAAAGTTCCAGCTAAATTGTGCCTGGACTCTGGTTCCACAGAAACTGAGGCATGGTGTTTCTTAAGGTATTCTTTAGCATGTCAAACAGCCTTCTTGATTACAATTAGGGCTCCCCCGCCCCCATAGGACATGTGCACTTACCAGAGGGGGAAGAGAGAGAGAGAGTGAGTGAGAAATTACCTCCCAGGGAAGATGGCCACACTGTAATCCCTTCTCCTCTTGGGATTTTGGGCACACACACACACACACATGAACCTGGAGTGATTTTCAAGCCATCAAGTCTGGGACCCAAACCATGGTGGGTAATGTAAGAATCCAGCCACCTTAACCATGTACCACCTGCTAGCTAACCCCCAAGTGCAAGTATTTTTTAAGAGACAAAATAAGAATTTTGACAGACACATTTTCTACTGGATTGAGCAAATCACCCATAATTTTATTATGATCACCAGAAGAAAACATTAATTATATGAAACATCATTTAAAATATGACAAAGTGTGCATTATTTGGTGAACACAGACTACATACCTCTGGTTCCTATGCACAAACCGAATTGTCTAGTAAGGAAAAAAAATTACTTTATGATAACTTGCTCAAGAAAATGGCTCACAATAGAATTTGGCAAGTCACAACAACCATAGGAGGCAGGTATAATGTGTTCAAGTTATTTTTTTCTTCCATGAGAGAGAGAAATGAGCACCTGCATCAGGGTCTCCACACCACAATTCACCCCTAGTCTCAGCCAGCCTGGATCGCAGGCACAGGCACCCCCCTGGCTGGTCCAGGGAGGCCATAAGACCTGAATCGGGGATCTTCTCAAGTGGGTTTAGTCGTATTGCCACTGTGCCAGTCTGGCCCCAGAAAGTAGGTATTACCATCCTGTTTTTCAGAGAAATAAACTCAGGCTGGAGAGATGGAATAACTGACTGAATTATTATAACACCACTGGGCAGCAGCACTGGTATGGCAACCTTGGTCAGATCGCAAAGCCACTTTTCCTAAGGCCCATCTACTTGCATTACATTATCCTTATTCCTTGGTGTAAATTCACAAATGCTTTTGTCTAATCATACACAAATAATTTCTGCTGATGGTACAGCTGTAGGAATGTCAGGAACTATAGCTTGATATAGCTATAAATGCAGTTCTTTAAAAGATTCCATTGGTATTTCCCTGAAATGTGCATGTCATTGACTTGATTGACCATGGAATTATCTCTGATTTCAGAGCAAAATCAATCTTCCAAAGGAGTCTCCAACACTCTGGAGATTCAAGAACAGTCCCTTCAAAATAAAACTCGGTGTCCTGGTTAAGTAACTAACAGTCAACTGCTTTCAGGCTGGCCCTGTAGCTCAGCCGATAAGGAAGCCAGATCTCACGTGGCCCACCATGATTCACATGACTGACCACAGTTTGAATTCAGGTCCCACTGGCTTAAAAAATATGCCAGGCACATGTGCATGTGTGCCCAAAATCCTGATAGGAAGGAGAAATAGAGCCGAGAGAATTGTGGCATGACCATGCTCCATTGACGGGAGTTTTCTTTCTCTCCCCACTCTCTTCTCTTTTTAGTGAGAGCCCACGCACTCTGGCAACAACCACCACCAATAGTCAACTATTTTGTTCTCCAAAATTAAACACTCAAAGAAAAACTCGTATTCAAGGAACTGCCCCCGATCTCGGAAGCCAGATCCTGGGATTGACTGAGCCATTCAAGTTCTAGCCTTGGTGGTACACCACTGGGTGTGTGCCCAAAATCCCAACACATGGAAGAAATGGAGGAGAAGGGATTGCAGCATAATCATGCCCCATTTGGGAAGTCTCTCTCTCTTTCTGTCTCTTGGTCTCTGGCTAGCACATGTGCCCTCTGGCAAAACAAAAAACAAACAGCATGAACTCTATTCAAAAGGTCTACTATGCTTGTACTCTTGCTTTCATATCACAGTCTCCTGCAACAAACAGAGCTGGTTGCCCTCACAAATCCGTAGTTCATCCTTCTCCCATGTTGTCACAATCTTGGTTTTGTTTGGGCTTCTGTTTTCTTTCCTGTAGCCATTTGCTTCAGGGGAGGCTGGCCTAGTGAGTGAGGGATTCACTGATATGGGAGGCTGATATGGGAATTAATTCCAGCTAATGAGCTGAGAAGAAATCCTCTGGGAAAGTTTTCATTGCTCTTAAGAAAAGGACATAAGAGGGACCAGCAGATGGTATCACCATTATTTCGCTGGACTCCTATGTAATCAACTGTGATTTGAATCCTGGACCCAGTGGCTTAAAACTCATGCAAGATGCGTGTGTGTGCATGTCCAAGATCCCAAGAGGAAAGGGAGGAGAAGGGATTGCAGCTTGGCCATTCCCCCCTACCCCAGGGAAAAGGGTGATTTCTTGTTTTCTGTCCTTCTGTCTCTTCAGTGAGCGCATGCACCCTATAGCAAAAATCTCTCTTTAAAAAAAAAGAAGAAAGAAAAAGAAAGAGAGAGAGAGAGAGAGAAAGAAAAGAAAGGAAAGGAAAGGAAAAAAAGAAAGAACAGAAAGGAAAGGAAAGGAAAAGAGAAGAGGAGAGGAGAGGAGAGGAGAGGAGAGGAGAGGAGAAGAGAGGAGAGGAGAAGAGAAAAGAAAAGAAAAGAAAAGAAAAGAAAAGAAAAGAAAAGAAAAGAAAAGAAAAGAAAAGAAAAGAAAAGAAAAGAAAAGAAGAAAAAGAAAAAGAACAGGGGTAGGAAAGAAACAAGTCCCTTTTCTTCCTGTACACATTTTGAACCTGGATATGATACCTGGAACTACAGCAGCCACTTTATAACAAGAAGAAAGCTAGCTTGAGAACAGTCAGTAAGCCAAGGACAAGACAATGAAAAGAACCCGGGACCTCAGTGATGTCACTGAGCTGGTGAATCCACCAATTCTGGAGCCATTCCTTATAGCCTGTGAGGTAGCAATGCCGCTCACTTATCATTGGAAGTATGGTAGCTGAGATTTCTGTTACTTCCACCAGGGGATCCAAACTGATGTTGTCCTTCAGCTCTAACTGCACATTGTCCCGTGCCATGCTCAATGACCTCATGTGGATGACTTGAACTTGGCCACAGTGAGAGTTTTTATGCCACAGAAGTCATAAATTGCCCAATGACACTTGGATGCTTTAACATCCCCTGGGAGACCAGCTGTTAAACGTTTTCTAGCACACCACTCCAACCTCAGAGCAATTGAAGGTGTCTGCAGACCACCGTGCTATGAAAAATTATGTAAAGACGAAGAGCTAAGAGGGAATGTAAATACCTGTATAGTGCGTTAGCAACATGACTAACTGGTTACCTTTTTAAATAAGGTCATTTGCCTGTCTTCCAGGGAAGGGGTTGGCAGACTACAGGCCTCAAGCAAAATTTGGTTATACTGCCCCTTTGAGAAAATAGAATTGTGCTGGAACATGACCATACCATTGACAGCATCTACGTTTTGTCTTGGGCTGCTTCGGCAATTGAGTACTTGCAACACAAAACCCCAAATATTCACTACTGGCATTTTAACAGAGAAGTTTGTAGATCCTTATTCTAGACATATGTGATATATTGACTTACAGAATAAAATGCCAGTATGTGAGAGAATGGGGTGGGAGATATTCAGTAACTATGACTATGGTGGC